CACTCACACACACACACACTCACACGCACACTCTCACACACACACACACACACACACACACACACACGTTGGTTTTTATGGTTTATGGGGACTCTCCATAGGCGTAATGGTTTTTATACTGTTCAAATCGTATATTCTATTGCCCTACACCAACCCTACCCCTAAACCTACCCCTCACAGGAAACTTTGTGCATTTTTAGATTTTCAAAAAACTTCATTCTGAATGATTTATAAGCCTTTTAGGGGACACTCAAAATGTCCTCATAAATCACCTTCTCGTTGTAATACCTATGTCATACCCATGTCATTATACAAATTTGTGTCCTCAGAAACCACATAAACATGCACATGCACACACACACACACACACACACACACACACACACCCGGCTAAGACTTCGTGTTAGACCTGATCTTAAGTCACACTTCTTGAAGACACCAGCAGCTACAGGCAGAAACATTTGTAAGCTTGCACAGTTCTGGGAAGAATCCACTTCAACATTATACACAAACCAGGTAAGATTAATCAGTTATATTGTGTAAAACTAATATATTTAATGTCAAAACTATATTTATACTGTATTTTTTCTCAGATAGTGTTTCCTCTTTTCTACAGTATCCTACACACAAGACTGGGTCAACTCATCTTCAGAGATTATAAATGGTAACATAAGTTCAGAAGGTTGTTGCAATGTTTTATTATCCATTTTTGTATTGTTTCACCTATCCAATTAAATATTTATATTTAAACACATTTTATGTCTTTTAGGTATCCTGCAGGAATTATGATGAGGCTATGAGGAAGAAGTTTTCATAGTTTCACTCCTGAAAGGCAGCTGAAGCACTGAAAATGACTTTTGAGGAAAGTCTGTGTGCTCAGTGGTCCAATAGCTGTCTGGTTTAGGGGTGGGTTTAGTTTCAAATCAACCAATCCTGTTTAACATGAATGACCAAAAGGGGAGGGCACTGTGCCACAAAGGTGTGAACGCCCCCTTCATTTAGTGGATTACCATGGCAACAAATGGCTGTTGCACGGAAGAATACCTCAGTAACATACATCTGGATCAGTATATATATGGCAGTATATGGACCCATGGTATTTTCGTGTCTGGCCAGTAATACTCCCAGATTTCATGGGACATTCCATAGGCGTAATGGTTTTTATACTGTACAAACTGTATGTGCTATTGCCCTACACCAACCCTACCCCTAAACCTACCCCTCACAGGAAACGTTCTGCATTTTTACTTTCTCAAAAAAACTCATTCTGTGTGATTTATAAGCTTGTTTCCTCATGGGGACCTCAAAAATGTCCCCACAAGGTCAAAATTTACTAGTATTACTATCCTTGTGGGGACATTTGGTCCCCATAACGTGATAAATACCAGGTACACACACACACACACACTATTAATCTGTCTCTGTGGGTCGGTCTGTTTGCCGTTTGACCCACTGAACTGAGATCAGCAGAATGGGGTTTGTGACGCTCAAATATCACCTCATATTATTTCCCATTAAAACATGATCATTTAAACCCATAAGTGCTGAGGATTGCTCCTGGAATGCAGACACAATCAGCTCAAGTGGTGCTGTGAAATGATTAAATAAAACGCAAGCGCGCAGGACTGTGATTGGTCCGGTCTAATCTGTTCTGAGAACTGTAACGGTCAAGTAAAGCCAGCTGTTGTGTGTTGTGCACTAACACAGACCTGCGAAGAACCGCCCACTTAGACAGGAAGAGAGCGTGTGATTGACAGGCGAAGCGACCAACCACAGCTCACTCGGTTTCTTTTTTATCTCTCTTTTAAAACATTTGAAAGTCATTTTTAATACATGTTTACGTTTTATTGTTATTTTTATTTCCTATGCATCTTTACTGACTATTTTTGGATGATTTCTAAGTCCTTCTTATGAAAAGCAGCGTCTCTTGAACACCGAAACGCCTTGCTTCTTGAGGTCAGAGATAACACAATAAAAGCGACGAGGGGAAATGTGTGAAGACTTCAGAGTTTCTGTCCGCCCAAAAGCAACAAATGCTGATTATTTCAGATATCAGTGTTTACAAAATAGAAAATGTAATTCTGCTTGTTGATATCTAGTTTTAAATATGTAAACTAACAGATATTACCATATTTGTAATGCTGTCTAAATGTTGTATAAATCAGAGTGAATGATATATGAACAAACCCCTCAGTAAACCCCTTCAGAATAGAGATAGGAATAAAACTCTTAAGTTTTGTCTGTAGTGTCTTGTGGCGAACTGTTAAATCCTATGTCTAGTTCTTCCTCAAAAACACTTTTCAGCAACCGGTAACTGGTTAGAAGTTGCATAAAGCCAGATTGCGACAGTGTTGTGTGGATTTGTGTGCATATGCATCAGTCAGTGTGTGTGTGTGTGTTGTGTGTTTTGTGTACATTGTGTGTGTGAGTGCGCGTGTGAGTATGCGTGCGTGTGTGTGCGTGAGTTTGTGTGTGTGTGTGTGTGTGTGAGTGCGCGTGTGAGTGTGTGTGTGAGTATGCGTGCGTGTGTGTGTGTGTGAGTGCGCGTGTGAGTGTGTGTGTGTGTGTGAGTGCGCGTGTGAGCGTGTGTGTGTGTGTGAGTGCGCGTGTGAGCGTGTGTGTGTGTGTGAGTGCGCGTGTGAGCGTGTGTGTGTGTGTGAGTGCGCGTGTGAGCGTGTGTGTGTGTGTGAGTGCGCGTGTGAGCGTGTGTGTGTGTGTGAGTGCGCGTGTGAGCGTGTGTGTGTGTGTAGTTTCAGGGCCCGTGTGGCTGAGAGTGAGTGTGTGTGTGTGTGTGTGAGAGTGAGTGTGTGTGTGTGTGTGTGTGTGAGTGCGTGTGTGAGCGTGTGTGTGTGTGTGAGTGCGCGTGTGAGCGTGTGTGTGTGTGTAGTTTCAGGGCCCGTGTGGCTCATGCTGGGCGTTTAGTGCCGTCGGTGCTCTGGAGGGTCAGATGAAGAGGAGAACAGGTTCACTGGTCCCCTTGAGTCCGCTGAACCTGCTGGACTGCAGTGTGAGTCTGGGGAACCGCGGCTGCAGAGGCGGATATCTGAGCCGAGCCTTTCTCTACATCATCCAGAACAACGGCATCGACTCCAACACCTTATACCCGTATGAACACAAGCTACTGCAGAACGTTAACACAACACCCAACGAGCCTTCAGCTTCACTACATCAGTGTTCACAGGCATGATATAAATCAGGGATTCTCCAACTGGGGTTCGTGAGGGAACTGCAGAGAGTTGGAAAACTGATGAAAAGCTAATAATTCAATTTTAAAAAATAAATTAAAATAAATAATTTTAAAATAAAACACTTACCAAGAAAATAATTAAATCATAAATAATTGTTTAAAAAATCTACATAATACACTTAGTAAAAATCAACTAAATCATAGAACTGCATAAATAAACAAATAAGTAAATATTTTTGCAGTGAAAATACTACACACTAACAAAATTCAATATTAAAAATGTAAAATTAAAATATATAATTTTAATATAAAACATTTACTAAAAACAATTAAATCATAAAAATGTAAAACTGAAAGAAAAAAAACAATCAAAATAAAAATTAACTAAAAATAATCATAAATAATCATTAATAAACTAAATGTCAAATTAAAATAAATAATAAAAAAATGAAAAATCTACATGAAACATTTGCTAAAAATTAAATAAATCATAAAAATTTAAAATGAATATAATTAAATATTTAATATAATTAATATAATCAAAATAAAATATTTACAAAAAATTTATCAAACCACAATGTAAATTTTAAATGAATAATTTTTTAAATAAAAACAATGAAAATAAAACCTGATGAAAAAAATAAATACAAATGTACATTTAAAATAATTATAATATAAAAACAATGAAAAACACTTACTAAAAATTCATTAAACCATAAAAGTGTCATATCAAAACAAATAAAATACTATTAAAAAACAATGAAAATAAAATGGTTACTAAAAATGTATTAAATCATAAAAATGTGAAATTAAAATAATTAATTTTAAAATAAAAACAATCGGAATAAAACTTACTAAAAACTAAATCATGAAAAATAACACATCTTTTCAAAATAATGAGCAAATGTGTTGTTAAATTATTGTAATATTAAATCTAAGTGGTTTGGCTGATGACAGAGTTTGTGAATCCCTGATCTAGAAGGTTTGAATGTTGTTGTTGTTGTGATGTTGTAGTGGTGTTCTAGTGACATTGTAGTGGCGTTGTTGTGACGTTGTAGTGACAAAGTGATATTGTGAAGTTGTAGTGGCGTTGTAGTTACATTATAGTGACGTTGTGGCATTGTTGTGACATAGTGACGTTGTTGTTGCAGTGTGCCATTATGACATTGTAGTGACGTTGTTGTGGCGGCATTTATAGTGACGTTGTTGTAGTGCCGTTAATGTGACGTTGTAGTGGCGTTGTTGTGGCGTAGTGACGTTGTGATGTTAATAGTGACTTTGTTGTGGTGTTGTGGCGGCGTTGTAGTGACGTAGTGACATTGTGGCATTGTAGTAATGTTATAGTGACGTTGTGACATTGTTGTGACTGTGGCGTTGTAGTGACGTTGTTGTAATGTTGTGATGTTGTAATGTTGCTGTGATGTTGTGGTGTTGGGGCGGTGTTGTAGTGACGTTGTTGTGTTGTAGTGATGTTATAGTGACATTGTGACATTGTAGTGTTGTAGTGATGTTATAGTGATGTTATAGTGACGTTGTTGTGACGTGGTATTGTAGTGGCGTTGTAGTGACTGTTGTGACAGTGGCGTTGTAGTGACGTTGTTGTTATGTCGTTGTAATGTTGTGATGTTGCTGTGATGTTATTGTAATGTTGTTGTGATGTTGTGGTGTTGAGGCGGCATTGTAGTGATTGTTGTGACAGTGGCGTTGTAGTGGCATTGTTGTTATGTCGTTGTAATGTTGCTGTGATGTTATTGTAATGTTGTTGTGATGTTGGGGCGGTGTTGTAGTGACGTTGTTGTGTTGTAGTGATGTTATAGTGACCTTATAATGACGGTGTGACATTGTGGTGTTGTAGTGATGTTATAGTGACGTTGTTGTGACGTGGCATTGTAGTGACATTGTAGTGGCGTTGTAGTGACTGTTGTGACAGTGGCGTTGTAGTGACGTTGTTATGTCGTTGTAATGTTGTGATGTTGCTGTGATGTTATTGTAATGTTGTTGTGGTGTTGGGGCGGCTTTGTAGTGATTGTTGTGACAGTGGCGTTGTAGTGACTGTTGTTATGTCGTTGTAATGTTGCTGTGATGTTATTGTAATGTTGTTGTGTTGTTGTGATGTTGGGGCGGTGTTGTAGTGACGTTGTTGTATTGTAGTGATGTTATAGTGACCTTATAATGACGTTGTGACATTGTGGCGTTGTAGTGATGTTATAGTGACGTTGTTGTGACATGGCATTGTAGTGGCGTTGTAGTGACTGTTGTGACAGTGGCATTGTAGTGACGTTGTTGTCATGTTGTAATGTTGCTGTGATGTTGTTGTAATGTTGTTGTGATGTTGTGGTGTTGGGGCGGCGTTGTAGTGACGTTGTTGTGTTGTAGAATGTTATAGTGACCTTATAATGACGTAGTGACGTTGTTGTCCTACTACTTGTTTCACTTCTGTTTCAGTTTTTTATAACAATTTCTTACTATGTGTCAGTAAGTTGTTGTTATTTTAGCATGTGTGTTTGGCTCAGTGTTATTTTTTTAGGATTACTGATAAACTAATGTAGTTTGATTTGTATTAGATATCTATTTTAGTTTTAGTTACAGTTGTAGTAATGTTGTCATTTTATTAGTTTTTTATTATGTCTATATAGGTTTTTTATTAAGTTTTAGTTTTATTTAATTTTAGTTATTTCAGTACTTCAACATACAAAATGGAAATGAAATAATATATATATATTGAATGTATTTATATACATGTACATGTACATGTATGTGTGTGTGGCTGTACATACACATATGTAGTTGTTTTTTGGTGTTTGGCTTAGTGTTATGTTAGAATCATTATTATATTCATACCTTTTGTTCTTTTAATATTTTGAATCATTTTTAGCTTTATTTTTTTGTTTTCATTTAAATGTTTAGTTTTGAAATGTTGTATGCATTTGTCATTTCTATTTAATTTCTTTTATTTTCTTAAATGTGTATATATATAGTGTTTTTAGAGTTTTAGCTTTTAGTTTTAATTACTTTTTCTTATTTGTAAGTCGCTTTGGATAAAAGCGTCTGCTAAATGACTAAAAGTAAAGTAAAGTAAAAGTTGTGTTGTAGTGATGTGATAGTGACCTTATAGTGATGTTGTGACATTGTGGCGTTGTATTGTAATGTTGTTGTGGTGTTGGGGCGGTGTTGTAGTGACGTTATTGTGACATTGTGACACTGGCGTTGTAGTGATGTTATAGTGACGTTGTTGTGACAGTGACGTTGTTGTTATGTCGTTGTTGTTATGTCATTGTAATGTTGTTGTGGTGTTGGGGCGGTGTTGTAGTGACGTTATTGTGACGTTGTGACACTGTGGCGTTGTAGTGATGTTATAGTGACGCTGTTGTGACAGTGACGTTGTTGTTATGTCGTTGTAATGTTGTTGTGTTGGGGCGGTGTTGTAGTGACGTTATTGTGACATTGTGACACTGGCGTTGTAGTGATGTTATAGTGACGTTGTTGTGACAGTGACGTTGTTATGTCGTTGTTATGTCGTTGTAATGTTGTTGTGGTGTTGGGGCGGTGTTGTAGTGACGTTATTGTGACGTTGTGACACTGTGGCGTTGTAGTGATGTTATAGTGACGTTGTTGTGACGTGGCATTGTAGTGACATTGTAGTGGCGTTGTAGTGACTGTTGTTTTGGCATTGTAGAGACGTTGTTGTTATGTCGGTGTAATGTTGTGATGTTGTAATGTTGCTGTGATGTTGTTTTGGCAGTGTAGTGACGTTGTTATGTCAGAGTAATGTTGTGATGATGCTGTGATGTTGTGGTGACGTTTGCAGCAGGGTGCCTGTCGATACTCTGTGACGGGAAGAGCCGGATATTGCTCAGGTTTCCGGATTCTTCCGCGTCACAATGAGGCAGCGCTGCAGTATGCCCTTGCTAACATTGGACCTGTGTCCGTTGGTGTCAATGCCAAACTTGCTTCCTTCCACAGGTACAGAGGCGGTGAGACATATATAATACATCACACACACCTGTCTATCTGCTTTCAGTCCCCCCAAATGATACATACGTGTGTTCAGGAATCTACAGCAATCTGAAGTGCTGCTCTGGACTGATCAATCATGCGGTTCTAGTTGTGGGTTACGGCTCAGAAAATGGACAAGATTACTGGCTGGTGAAAAACAGGTTGATTTTCACTTGATAAAAAAAATACTATGTGACAGTTATGACTTTAGAACAGGCATTTTGTCAGGTTTTAAAAGGTTATTTTAATATTATAATTATTTTACCATTATTACGAATCATTATTATGAATAATTATTTAATTATAATATTCATATTTGTATAAATATAAATGTAATATATTTATCATTTTTTAAATAAATATTATTAATAATTATTGTATTATAATATTCATATTTTGTAATAAATATACTAGTTTATATTTATATAATAATGTTGCTGTAAAAAAAAAAAAAAACTTCAGTAGCTGTTAAGTCACTGTATTTTAGTGTGAGCTCTAATGACCTCTAGTGTTGAAAATGCGAAATGATGATTTTAGGTCAATAATTCTGTCTCTCTGTCTCAGCTGGGGTGAAAACGGTTTCATCTGCATGGCACGAAATAAAAACATGTGTGGAATATCCAGCTTTTCCATTTACCCCACCATCTCATCCGACCGCATCTGAGCTTCCTCTCTGAGACACTGGAGCGGAATATATCTTATTTAATACATATTGATTTTCTGAAAGTCTTTAGTTTCTGTAACAGCCCTGAAAAACCAAACTCATGACAAAAGCAAAGAACATTCGTGGAAGTAAATTGGAAATAAAGTTGATACTGCTTTAATATTTATAATTTAGGGGGAGGAGTATTCTCAATCTAAAGAGTGCTTGACTGGACAAAAATGTCAAAGATGTTTATATAATTAATTTAAACATTGAAATTAGAGATCCGTTGTATTTTTTTCTTTCTTTTTCAAAACAAAACACCAAAAATAAATTAAATATTCAAATGTAAAATAAAAAAAAACACTTTATTAAATCATAAAAAATTATTAAATCATAATAATGTTATGTCTTAAATTAACTGTAACTGAAATTAGAGATTGATTGTTTTAAGTCTTATTTTGTGTTATAAATGAAACTCCAAGGTTGATTAAAATTATATATATATATGGGCCAATTTTAATATTACTATTATTAGAATTTAATTAAAATATATAGATTATTAGAATTAAATGGAATTAAGAGAAAAAGATAAAGAAGTGTCACCTTCATGCATGAAACTGTGCTTGTTTTATATTAAACTTATTGGTAAAAACTAGTAATAACTCATAAAAAATGTATACCTTTAAGCCATTTAAACACTGAAATCAGAGATTCATTCATTTTATGTGAGAAAGGAAAACGTTAAAGGAAAATGAAGGGAGAAGTTGTAGCTATAATATGCATGTTTTTATAAATATAATATTTATAATTTTTATGTTATTGGTTATTTTTCTTATAATGTTCATATTTGTATAAATATAAATGTAATATTTTATATAATATTAATAATTATTTTATTATAATATTCAAATTTTTATTAAAAAGTGTGTGTCTTTCATTTAAACACTGAAATTAGAGATTGTTTTATGTGGCTCATGAAGAAAAACAAGTGTTATTTTATGTTTCTGTTCACTGTTGTAAGAATAAATGAAGCTCAAAGTTCGATTAAAAGATTCAAATAAGCAGCATGGCTTTTATTGATTGTGTTATAAAGTATTACATTCTCTATAGAACAGTTATGATCAAAACTCCAAATATAAAATGCTGCACATGTGCGTTTACCAGCGTTACAGTCCTGAGTCAGAAATGACACAAATACTCTCATCATATTGGACTTAAGAAGACTCATAATTCCCTTCTCGTAATAGGTGAGGTGTGAGTGAAGCTCAGTAGATATAGGCTAATGTTAGTGTGTGTGTTTCTGATCGCTTGGCTTCGGTTCGGTTCGGGTCGCTCACATGTGTTCTGGATGGTTCTGAAGGCAGCTGATGAAGTCCTGGGCCAGAGTCATGAAACTGCATTGATTTTTATATTAAAATTATTGGTAAAAAATAAATAAATAGTACTTTAAAGGTAAATAAAATTAAATAAAACAAAAATAAATTAAATTAAATATATTATAAAAAAATATATAATATATATAATTTATTATTGTTATTATTATTAGAAATATTTTATTAGAAAGTATTGGTAAAAACTAGTCATTTAGAGGTAAATAAACAAAATAAATAAATCTCCCAAACTAACTAACTAACATATATATATATATATATATTAGAAATGTTATGTGTATATATATATATATGATAATTTTATTGGTTAAAACTAGTAGTTTAGACGTAGATAAAATGGTTTTTAACAAACCTTCACAAAAACTGCATAAATAATAATGTTTAGATTTTATTAGAATTAAATGATATAAGATATCTGGACAAAAAAAGAAGATGTGCAATCATAATGCTCTGGGTTATTTTGACAGGTGATGTCTTATGAGTATGAAGGTTAATAACAGATTATGCACACATTAAACTGTACAGTGATGGTAAATACATGTTTGACGTGCATCACAGTATAAAATAAACCCATCACGCTGATCTCTGAAATGCTGAGCGTCATGTGATCATCAGTGTATTTGAGTTGGACCTTCTTCGAGCGGGCGAAGGCCTCGGCCACGCGGCGGTTGCGTCCTCCGTAGCAGGTGGTGATGAGGTCGGCCACGCCGCAGCTCTCCAGGAAGGTGGCGGAGTTGACGGCACTCTTGCAGAAGATTTTGGAGAAGGCCACCATCTCCATCAGCCCCAGCCGGATCACAGCAGCTTTGGTGTTGTCACCGAAACCCAGACCGTCACAGAAACCTGCACCCACCGCCACGATGTTCTGCCACACACACACACACACACAGGGGGGCATAATTATGACTTTTTATCATCATTTTGACTGGTTCTGTCATAATCATAACTTTCCCTCATAATTCAGATTTTTATCTCATAATTTTGTCTTTTTGTCATAATTATGACTTGTATCTCAGAATTTAGATTTTTTTTTACATAATTATGACTTTTTCTCATAATTTGGTTTTTATCTCATAATTTTTACTTTTTGTCGTAATTATGACTTTTTATCTCATTTAAAATTTTGTTTTGGGGGGCATAATTATTACTTTTAGCTCATTAATTTGACTGTCATAATTATGACTTTTTATCTTATAATTTTGACTGGTTCTCTCATAATTATAACTACCCTTCATAATTCAGATTTTTATCTCATAATTTTGTCTTTTTGGCATTATTATGACTTTTTATCTCATAATTAATTTTTTTTGCCATAATTATCTCATAGTTCTGATTTACCTAAGCTTCCATAACATCAGCAATCTGAACAAGTGAGACGATGCTTTAAAGATGACTTCTAGATGATTGAGAGATGAAAGCATCACGTGTGTGTCTCCGGTACCTTCAGCGCTCCACACAGCTCCACCGTGTCGCTCTCCTTCACCACAGTGATGCGGAAGTTCGGCGTCTGCAGAAGCTCTTTGAAGACCTTGCCGTTGGATTCATTAGTGGCTCCTGAAACACACACACACAGTCATAAACACACGAGGTCAAGCGCTCTGCAGGCTTCTCACAGGAAGTGATGTCACACACCGATGGTGGTCTCGCAGAACTTCTCCTCGGCCACCTCGCTGGCGATGTTGGCGCCCATCAGCACACTGACCTCGATCTCCAGCTTGGACCTGATGATGTCAGAGATCAGGGTCAGTCCATCCGGACCCTCATCGATACCCTTAACACACACACACAGAATGATCAATACTGTTTAGTAATAAATATAGTACATACATTCAGGATTATTATAATTAACTAATACTATTAAATCATTTTACAGTATTTCACAGTATTTCTCACTTTTATTTATTTTAAGTTGAAGCATTAAAATTACTAACTTGAAATAAAAAATAAAACTGAAGTAAACCTTAAAATGATAATAATAATAGTAAATAATACTAAAATATCGCTAACTGCGTAAAAAAGATATGGTGATTGTCTCATACTTTAATGAGGGAGATGCCAGTGGCTCCAGGTTTGACGTGAGGTTTCATCTGGTCACAGATCTTCCCAATAAACTGATGAGGAATGACGAAGATCAGGACGTCTGCTCCGCTCGCGGCCTCGGTGACATCAGGAACAGCCACCTGAGGAAACAGAGCAGATCTGAACCCTGGTCTTCTCTCAGCAGGGGCTTCACGGAAATCAACTGCTTTACACCAGTGCTTCTTAACCTTTTAAACAATATTTGAAAGTCTCCCATATTATTACAGCCATCATTTCTGGTTCAATTATGACAACGCTCAAAAATGTCTTATAATTCTAACTTTTTGACTTTATCTCATAATTATCTCTCATAATTTTGTCTTTTTGTCATAATTTAGATTTGGCATAATTTCAACCTTTTGTCAATTATGACTTTATATCTCATAATTATGATTGTTTTTTTATCTCAATGCCATAAATATGACTCTTTAAACTCATAATTTCATCTTTTTGGCATCATTTAGATTTGGCATAATTACAACCTTTTGTCAATTATGACTTTATATCTCATAATTATGAACTTTTATCGCAATGCCATAAATATGACTCTTTAAACTCATAATTTCATCTTTTTGGCATCATTTAGTTTTTTTTTTAAATCTCATAATTCCAACCTTTTGTCAATTATGACTTTATATCTCATAATTATTAATTTTTATCTCAGTGCCATAAATATGACTCTTTAAACTCATAATTTCATCTTTTTGGCATAATTTTTATTTTTTTTTAAATCTCATAATTCCAACCTTTTGTCAATTATGACTTTATATCTCATAATTATACATTTTTATCTCAGTGCCATAAATATGACTCTTTAAACTCATAATTTTATCTTTTTTTTTTATCTCATAATTTCAACCTTTTGTCAATTATGACTGTATATCTCATAATAATTATTTTTTTTTATCTCAATGCCATAAATATTACTCTTTAAACTCATAATTTCATCTTTTTGGCATCATTTAGATTTTTTTATCTCATAATTTCAACCTTTTGTCAATTATGACTGTATATCTCATAATAATTATTTTTTTTTATCTCAATGCCATAAATATTACTCTTTAAACTCATAATTTCATCTTTTTGGCATCATTTTTATTTTTTTTTAAATCTCATAATTACAACCTTTTGTCAATTATGACTTTATATTTCATAGTTTTGAATTTTTATCTCAATGCCATAAATATGACTCTTTAAACTCATAATTTCATCTTTTTGGTATAATTTAGATTTGGCATAATTACAACCTTTTGTCAATTATGACTTTATATTTCATAATTATGAATTTTTTATCTCAATGCTATAAATATGACTCTTTAAACTCATAATTTCATCTTTTTGGCATCATTTTTATTTTTTTTTAAATCTCATAATTACAACCTTTTGTCAATTATGACTTTATATTTCATAATTATGAATTTTTATCTCAATGCCATAAATATGACTCTTTAAACTCATAATTTCATCTTTTTGGCATCATTTAGATTTTTTTATCTCATAATTTCAACCTTTTGTCAATTATGACTGTATATCTCATAATAATTATTTTTTTTTATCTCAATGCCATAAATATTACTCTTTAAACTCATAATTTCATCTTTTTGGCATAATATAGATATTTTTTTTATCTCATAATTTCAACTGTTATAGTTAAGTTTTATCACATTATTTCGACTTTTTCATCTCATAATTTTGTCTTTTTGTCATAATTATGACTTTTTATATAATTTCTTTTAACTTTTTGTCATAATTGTAACCTTTGGTCTATGCTACATGTTCCATGTGTGTGTTCTGCCCAGTTTGTCTTCATAGTTACCCTCATTAGTTGCCATAGTCACTCACTGGACCACACCCACTCCTTGTTAGTTCCCATAGTAACACATTTTCTCCCTTGGACCCTTGTATTAAACCGTGCTTGAGTTTCTCTTGTGCTTTGGCAGTTGTTGGATGTTATGGTGCCGTTTCGGCTCGTGTTCTGTTCCTTGTTTCCCGTGTTTTGGTTTATTGTTTGCTCTTGTTTTGTTATTAAACTGCCATGTTCCCTGCCTGCTTGCTTGCTTCATCCACCAGCACATTACAGTCTAACTGTTATAATCCACTTTTTATCATATCATTTATACTTTTATCTCATAATTATTATTTTTGATGCCATAAATGAGTTTTTATCTCATAATTTTTTACTTTTTGTCAGAATTTTGACTGTCATAATTTCAACTGCTCTAATCCACTTTATATCACAACAGATTTAGACTTTTATTTCATAATTATGATTTTTTTTCTCATAATTATTTTTAATGCCATGAGTTTATCTCATCATTTTTTTTTACTTTTTGTCAGAATTTAGACTTTGTCATAATTTCAATTGTTATAATCCACTTTTATCACATCATTTATACTTTTATCTCATAATTATGATTTTTTTAAATCTCATAATTATGATTTTTTTATCTCATAATTATGTTTTTTTTAAATCTCATAATTATTATTTTTAATGCCATAAGTGTGTTTTTATCTCATAATTGTTTACTTTTCACAATTTCACCTGTTATAATCAACTTTTTTATCAACATTTTGACTTTTTATCTCATACTTATGACTTTTAATACCATAAATATGACTTCATAATCTCACAATTTCATCTTTCTGTCATAATTTTAACTTTTTATCTCATAATTGATCTGTTATACTGGTTACTGGAATTTTTGTTTTCATTTTATTTCTTGAATCTTTTTCATTTTTGATTAAGTTTTCATTCATTTTTAATAAAATTAACCATCTGGGTCCAGCAACAAGCTAGTACGACCCGTTCTGTTCCAGCAGGTTACCTTCATAAAGTGGGCGGGTAGATCAAGACATTTCTAATGCAGCATCTGAATGATTGCTACATCACTTTTATTATTCCTTCAGCTTTGACCTGGTTAATTATAGTCTGTTTGAGTTGCTGTTCTCTAACTAATCCACATTTGTGTGCAATGATTTCAAAACCACAAGTTCACATTTGCTCATTTATCTTTTCCCATCATGACCTCTGCCTCACTTACTCAGTGGTTACTTCACTATTAATCTGCTTCTAACGTTGTGTAATTTTGCCGCAGTAACGTGTAGATGAGTGTAAAGGTGATCAGTGCAGAGGTCAGCACTTTAATCTGTGTGTAACCCTACTGATAACCAGCTCACATCTAACATTTACTCAAAGATACCATGGTATTACCTTCTGAACTTCACTAGAGCTATCAAAAATATCAAAATTGATTTATCAAAATGTTATTTATGAATGTTCTCGAAATGTTCTGAATGTTTTTGAAATGTTTCTTCTTGGTTATACGAACATTCCATTTGGTCATTTTGCAAACATCATGGAAACGTTACTTTTAAATGTTCTCTGAAGATTCTGGAAAATATAGTAACATTTATAAAATATTATGCTACATGAACAATTGTATAAATAATGTTTTTGTGGTAACATTTTGAGAACATTTCTATTAACGTAACTGAAAGTTCAAACTTTTCCAGAACATTCTGAGAACATTCTTCTGGTCATACAGGTTAAGCATCTTTCAATTACCTTGCAGTACCATCAAAGTACCACGGTATTATGGTCTCTTCCCATCACTGTACTATTAAAGAGAAACACACACCACATTTTTGGGCAGTTTGTGTCCGGGCAGATATTTGACGTTCTCGTGTTCGGTGTTGATGATCTCGGTGAGTTTGCGTCCGTCAATCATCTCCTCATAGACCCACATCTTCACCAGCGGATCGAAGCGGTTCGACGCTTTCACATTGTGCCCGATGATCTTAGCGATGGCAGAACCCCTGACCAACAAAAAACACACATATGCAGCACAAACACATTAAAAACAACAAAGTACCACCTTACTTTCCATATGGCAAAAAATATATATTTTTTTTTAAATACATTATTTAAAATACATTTTCAAAATACATTTTTAAATGCTTTTAAAAAATATATCTAGTTTTTTAAATATATTTTCAAAATTTACATTTTTTTTGTGTATTTTTAAATATATTTGAAAACATATTTTTTTCTGGGAACACACAACTACAGTAAAACTGTTGATTGATTGAATAACTGGATGTGAAACTGTGAGAAGCTTCAGAATCAGGTTTACTACAGTAAATATGCCATTATGTGGGGAAAAAACTGTTGTAACCATGGGAAATTCTGGTATTCTTAATTATACTGCGGTAAATTACATGGCCATCAAACGGTAGTAACTAAGTACCATGGTGTGAGCATTAGAGCAGCTACAGTGGTAACACCAGTCGGTTCTGTAGGAGTACAGATGCAAACACACCAGTGTGGAAAGTCAATGTCGCGTCGCGTTCAGCGCAGACAGCTGCTAAAGCGTTTCAGACGGATATAAGACGGAACTCACCAGTTTCCTGAGCCGATGATACAAACTTTCTTGCCAGGCATCGTGTTTGTTGTTGACTGAGGATCAGAGAGAGAATGAAGTTTGACTTCCTGACACACCCGACATACAGAGAGAGAGAGAGAGAGCGAGAGAGAGAGAGAGCGAGAGAGAGAGATAGAGAGAGAGAGACAGAGAGAGAGAGAGAGAGACACAGAGAGAGAGAGATAGAGAGAGAGAGACAGGGAGAGACAGAGAGAGAGAGAGAGAGAAAGAGAGAGAGATACAGGGAGAGAGACAGAGAGAGAGAGAGAGAGAGAGAGAATGCAAGGCTGGGTTCAACAGGTCTGGATTTGTTCTGCTCCTAAATTCCTGCTTAGTGTCTAATCATCTGTGTTATAGTCCAATTTTATGGATTAAAATGACTGTTAATATTAAAATAAATGGAAATGATAATGATTTATTCTTTAATGATTGAATGCAGCTGGTGTTAAAACATGTTAATGATTTCATTTAAGAATAAAATCAAACATCCGAGATCAAGGTCAAATACAGGTGTCAGATTTCACCAAATGTTCCACAACTACAGGAAAAGCTGAAATCAGCAACATTACGTGGAAACAACTTCATTAACAACTTCACTGAATAATGCTTTCATGAAAATTTGCAAATGCAAAAACACTTGTGTGAGGGTTTCGGGTCCATAACAAAACAAAACAAAAAAAATAAAAATAAAATAAAATAAAATGAAATTAAAATAGAAATGAAAATGAAATTAAATGAAACGAAATGTAATTGAAATTAAATGAAATTGAAATGAAAATGAAATTAAATGAAACGAAATAAAATAAAATATGTATTTATTTCATCTTCATGAAAATGTTCAAAAAGAAAAAGGTTGCTTAAGCATTTTGGCTCTAAATAATATAATATAATATAATATACAAATTGCATGAGGGTTTTGGCTCTATATAACATGACAAAATATAATAGGTAATATGTAATATAATAATGTCTTACATAATAATGTTTTGCTTGAAGGTTTTGGGTCTAATAATATAATATAATATAATATAATATAATATAATATAATATAATATAATATAATATAATATAATATAATATAATATAATATAATATAATATAATATAATATAATATAATATAATATAATATAATATAATATAATATAATATAATATAATATAATATAATATAATATAATATAATATAATATAATATAATATAATATAATATAATATAATATAATATAATATAATATAATATAATATAATATCATATCATTAGGCCAGTATTAAACAGCAGAAGTCAATGGAAAGTCCCAGTCATGTGATTGGTTATAGTTGTGATGTTCACGTGGGATGAGATTTCTATAATTCAGCACAATCTGC